GCTGTGCAAGACCTCAACACCTTACTACTGTTGAAATATCCACGAGGACAGTCCTGACCGGAAGAGGTCGGCAGGTAAGAACAGTGAAGTGATCACGATGTGAACGACCTGTAACATTCTTAGCCAGTGAAAGACAGTGAGCAGTAAAGAACTAAGTCTGATATTCTTATTGGCTAACATGAGTGTAGCAGAGACAGTGAAGTGACCCAGTAACAGCCAATTTAAGTGTAGCAGTTACAGTTTGCAGTGAAATTCATGTTAAGAATTGTTATGATCATGAATCATGCGCCCGACGCAGGACCAACACCGGCCGCGTCTCCAGCAGCAGGCCCCGGCGGTGGCGCCGCAACCATAGATACATCCACACCCTCACCCGCAGAATCCTCAGAATCTTCAGTAGCCACCAACGGCGGAATAGTCAACTTCCTCTAACCAATCGGTTAGACAGTCTACGGGCTCACCATAGCCCGTGCTACTTGGAACTTTTTGTTCCAGTTAGAGAATCTTAAACAACAACAGTCCACTTCGTGGAAGAGGCTTAGCGGTCCACGACACCGACACCCACATCGCACTCCACAGCCTCGTGCCCCGACATCTCGTAACGAAAGCCGGTCCGTGGCTGCCAGGCATAATACACACGAATATAAAATCCCATTAACTTGACGGAAGGCGGAATGTCAGTCCGTCCTGAGCCGCATTACGGGCTCACCATAGCCCGTGCTACTTGGAACTTTTTGTTCCAGGTTGCGAATCTTAAACAACAATAATATCCTGAGCCGCATTTCCAACGTCCGAATGCCATTCTGGACGACTGGAGGAGATGACATTCATCTTGATGGACACCACTCTCCCAAACTGCCCAAAGTACCACTGCAGCAACACTTTTGGGAACTCGATGGGGGCGCCGTAGGACGCTGACGTAGGTAGAAGTGCCACTGAGGTCTGAAAAACAACAGACCCAGCAGCACCTGGCAACTGGAACGAGCGCCCGTCAAACCGGTGAAGAAAGACCCAATAGTTTTCAAGAGGAAACTAGATTGTTTTCTCCAAGGAGTGCCGGACCAACCGGGCTGTGGTGGGTATGTGGGCCTGCGGGCCGCTCCAAGCAACAGCCTAGTGGACCAACCTCTCACAAGTCAAGCCTGGCATCGGGCCGGGCTTGGGGAGTAGAAGAACTCCCAGAACCCCATCAACCAGGTATATGTGGGCCTGCGGGCCGCTCCAAGCAACAGCCTAGTGGACCAAACTCTCACAAGTCAATCTTGGCCTCGGGCCGGGCTTGGGGAGTAGAAGAACTACCAGAACCCCATCAACCAGGCGATCAACCAGGCAACCAGTCTTCCTCAGTACAGAGGTTAACCACAGTCCGATGCCTCGTCATCAATTGGCCACCACGAACGGCAGCGACGTCAATGCCCCAAACGCCGAACAAAGTCGTATCCACTGCAGGGTAATCTGTGATTCCCGAGTATTCCAGCCCAATCGTCCTGGACCGCTGCACAGTGGGTAGGAGCACTGTATACCCCATCTACAGTGCCCAGCACGACGCCGTGAAGAATAGTTACTGGATGGAGTCATCTTAGTGAGCACCGCCAGCTGCCACCACCCAGCTCTGAGGAGGCTGACACAAGGAGTACGTACAGCAGTACATCCTGATGTATACAGCGTGTGTACATCCTGGTGTATACAGCATGTGTACATCCTGACATACAAGATATACAGCGTGTGTACATGATGGTGTATACAGCATGTGTACATCCTGACATACAAGATATACAGCGTGTGTACATCCTCATGTATACAGCATGTGTACATCCTGACATACAAGATATACAGCGTGTGTACATCCTCATGTATACAGCATGTGTACATCCTGACATACAAGATATACAGCGTGTGTACATCCTCATGTATACAGCATGTGTACATCCTGACATACAAGATATACAGCGTGTGTACATCCTCATGTATACAGCATGTGTACATCCTGACATACAAGATATACAGCGTGTGTACATCCTCATGTATACAGCATGTGTACATCCTGACATACAAGATATACAGCATGTGTACATCCTGACATACAAAATATACAGCGTGTGTACATCCTGACATACAAGATATACAGCATGTGTACATCCTGACATACAAGATATACAGCGTGTGTACATCCTGACATACAAGATATACAGCGTGTGTACATCCTCATGTATACAGCATGTGTACATCCTGACATACAAGATATACAGCGTGTGTACATCCTCATGTATACAGCATGTGTACATCCTGACATACAAGATATACAGCGTGTGTACATCCTCATGTATACAGCGTGTGTACATCCTCATGTATACAGCGTGTGTACATCCTCATGTATACAGCGTGTGAACATCCTGACATACAAGATACACAGCGTGTGTATGTGTATACATTCCTACGCAGAAGACACAGTGTGCGCGACCTTCATGACACAAGAGATACAGCGCTGTGTATCACACATACACGGCCAGATGAGCGTGTATCTCAACACATGACTAGCCGGAGGGAGGGAGAGGGAGGGGGTTGCATGACCGTAAGGATTCACAGGCATGCACATGACTGCAACACTTGCAATGTTCTCAACTTCCTGCATTCGCAATCGAGTCGTTAAGTTTCGGTTTTCATTAGAGTCGTGATTTAAGGGATTTTAGCTAAACAAGAAAGCCAAGGAAACATTTACTTTAAAATATTGATGTGAAATACTACGCTTAATTCTATGAGAGAAGATGTGAGGGCGTAATGTAGGCAACTGTCAACTCTGACAGCAGTATAGAGGTCTGACCTTCGTCTAGTCATAAACCGTTTTTATGTCCTGCCCCCGTGGATAATTATGTGTTTGTTTGTGTTTTATGGGTGTGTGTATCTTTATGTGTGTGTGTGTATCTTTATGTGCCAGTGTGTGTGTGTGGGTGCGCGCGCGTTAGTTAGTATTATTATTAATTTCTTTACAATGCACCCCATACCCATCAGTATATGTATTATCTCGTATTTTGATATTTTCGTGTTTGTGTATATGTGAGACCTGTTCCAAGGTCAGCTGTTGTGACTCTCAGACCTCTAGGGTTAACTGGAAGAGTTCCAGTGTTTGACGAGTCTGTTATTAGCAGTCCGAAGATAACCATAGCCAACTTTAGTGGCTCGTAATTAACCCTTGCCATGTTAATGGTAAGGTTTTACCATTCCAACTGTCAGTGATCCAAAATTAGCCACTTAAAACTAGAGATCCAATCATGCAACTGCCAGACACACTCACGCAGCAAGGTTCACCTTTATCTGTACATATCTTAAGGCGTTTATTATATAAATAAAACCATGAAAAGGTGATAGGCCGTTTTTACAACAATGGTGGCAGCGGTGGGATACTAAAAATCTCCCTCAACAAGCCCCTCTGGCACCGTCTCTTGTCAACAGGCACGTTCCCTCTTGCAGCAATTAACAAAGCACTGCCAGGCTTTTAATAGCACCGAATATCAACACTATGAAGCGCAATTTCACACAAGAAGCAACACCTCATTTGCGCATCATCACTACATTTGTATTCACCGTGTATCACCTGGATACTAAGCGTGTTCAACACGCTTCCACTACACATAAGGGACATAACTGGCTGACCCCTCACAGTGTTCAAGAGAGAACTGGATAAGCACCTCCAAAGGATACCTGATCAACCAGGCTGTGACTCATACGTCAGGCTGCGAGCAGCCGCGTCCAACAGCCTGGTTGACCAGTCCAGCAACCAGGAGGCCTGGTCGACGACCGGGCCGCGGGGACGCTGAGCTCTGGAAGCACCTCAAGGTAACCTTAAGGTAGGAAACCCCTCTCTGTGCCAACATTGTTTACAGAGGCCACATCATTGCACCTGAGACAGTGCAGTACTGTCCAGTTAATTCCCTTATGTGCTGCACCTCTGTGGTATTCTTGGTCTCTGCTAATTCCACTTGTGTACAGCCAGACAACGGGGGTGAGCCCTTGTGACCATCAGCCAGAGAGCATGATACAGTAGAACAGTGATGATGGAGTGAATGCGCCCGAAACACAGGACCTTTATACCACTGTTTCACAGTCAACGGACCAGGGATGAACATTGCTGAGATCCACAACATTTTTGGTTGATACCTGGTTGATGGGGTTCTGGGAGTTCTTCTAATCCCCAAGCCCGGCCCGAGGCCAGGCTTGATTTGTGAGAGTTTGGTCCACCAGGCTGTTGCTTGGAGCGGCCCGCAGGCCCACATATACCTGGTTGATGGTTTTCTGGGAGTTGTTCTCCTCCCCAAGCCCGGCCCGAGGCCAGGCTTGATTTGTGAGAGTTTGGTCCACCAGGCTGTTGCTTGGAGCGGCCCGCAGGCCCACATATACCTGGTTGATGGTTTTCTGGGAGTTGTTCTCCTCCCCAAGCCCGGCCCGAGGCCAGGCTTGACTTGTGAGAGTTTGGTCCACCAGGCTGTTGCTTGGAGCGGCCCGCAGGCCCACATACCCACCACAGCCCGGTTGGTCCGGCACTCCTTGGAGGAAACAATCTAGTTTTCTCTTGAAGATGTCCACACCTGTTTAACACCTGCATATTAGCATTTATTTATAACATTTAACGCCTGGATAATAACGTTTATTTATATTTAACAGCTACATACATTCTACACTGTATACGGCTCTTTAGGTTCCTACATCACCAGGTGCGTGCTCACGCCCTCAGAACAACCAGGCTGTTGATTATCATTCTTATCTTTGGGGGGGGGGGGGAATCATGCCCCTCTAGGCTTAGCGAATAGTTCCTGGGCCAAGCTGCTGACCTTTCACAGGATGCAGCCCACAACAGTTGCCTTGCCGTGTACCTAGGTGAACAGAGGCATCAGGTGAAAGGAAATATGCTTGAACGTTTGTGTCCTGTTTGTAAATCGAACCGGGGAGTCTAGATTGTGATTCGGTTACATACAGTCCACTGTGATACGCCCTCAACACCCCAGCTATCACACGCCCTCAACACCCCAGCTATCACACGCCCTCAACACTCCAGCTATCACACGCCCTCAACACCCCAGCTATCACACGCCCCTCAACACTCCAGCTATCACACGCCCTCAACACTACAGCTATCACACGCCCTCAACACCCCAGCTATCACACGCCCCTCAACACCCCAGCTATCACACGCCCTCAACACCCCAGCTATCACACGCCCCTCAACACCCCAGCTATCACACGCCCCTCAACACCCCAGCTATCACACCCCCTCAACACCCCAGCTATCACACGCCCCTCAACACCCCAGCTATCACACGCCCTCAACACTCCAGCTATCACACGCCCTCAACACCCCAGCTATCACACGCCCCTCAACACCCCAGCTATCACACGCCCTCAACACCCCAGCTATCACACGCCCTCAACACCCCAGCTATCACACGCCCCTCAACACTCCAGCTATCACACGCCCTCAACACTACAGCTATCACACGCCCTCAACACCCCAGCTATCACACGCCCTCAACACTCCAGCTATCACACGCCCTCAACACTCCAGCTATCTCACGCCCTCAACACTACAGCTATCACACGCCCCTCAACACCCCAGCTATCACACGCCCTCAACACTACAGCTATCACACGCCCTCAACACTCCAGCTATCACACGCCCTCAACACCCCAGCTATCACACGCCCTCAACACCCCAGCTATCACACGCCCCTCAACACCCCAGCTATCACACGCCCTCAACACCCCAGCTATCACACGCCCTCAACACTACAGCTATCACACGCCCCTCAACACCCCAGCTATCACACGCCCCTCAACACTACAGCTATCACACGCCCTCAACACCCCAGCTATCACACGCCCTCAACACCCCAGCTATCACACGCCCCTCAACACTACAGCTATCACACGCCCTCAACACCCCAGCTATCACACGCCCTCAACACCCCAGCTATCACACGCCCTCAACACCCCAGCTATCACACGCCCCTCAACACTCCAGCTATCACACGCCCTCAACACTCCAGCTATCACACGCCCCTCAACACCCCAGCTATCACACGCCCTCAACACTCCAGCTATCACACGCCCTCAACACTCCAGCTATCACACGCCCCTCAACACCCCAGCTATCACACGCCCTCAACACCCCAACTATCACACGCCCTCAACACCCCAGCTATCACACGCCCCTCAACACCCCAGCTATCACACGCCCTCAACACCCCAGCTATCACACGCCCTCAACACCCCAGCTATCACACGCCCTCAACACCCCAGCTATCACACACCCTCAACACCCCAGCTATCGCACGCCCTCAACACCCCAGCTATCACACGCCCTCAACACCCCAGCTATCACACGCCCCTCAACACTCCAGCTATCGCACGCCCTCAACACCCCAGCTATCACACGCCCCTCAACACTCCAGCTATCACACGCCCTCAACACCCCAGCTATCACACGCCCTCAACACCCCAGCTATCACACGCCCTCAACACCCCAGCTATCACACGCCCCTCAACACCCCAGCTATCACACGCCCCTCAACACTCCAGCTATCACACGCCCCTCAACACTCCAGCTATCACACGTCCTCAACACTCCAGCTATCACACGCCTCAACATAACACAACAGCTATATTGTGTTGTGGGCGTGCGATAGCTGTCACACGCTATCCCAGTTAAGTCTTAACTGGAGGTGTAGCACCCCCCTCCCCCCCCAGTTAAGACTTACACTAATCCACAAAAGGAAAACATTCATCTTTTAATTAATTTGTTCATGGCCATAACTTACGACTAAACTCTCCAGAGTTTATTGACAGCGACCGGGAGCTGTCAGAGCCGGTGTGTAGGGAGCCGGTCGGCCGAGCAGACAGCACGCTTGTGATCCTGTGATCCCGGGTTCGATCCCAGGCGCCGGCGAGAAACAATGGGCAGAGTTTTTTTCACCCTATGCCCCTGTTACCTAGCAGTAAAATAGGTACCTGGGTGTTAGTCAGCTGTCACGGGCTGCTTCCTGGGGGTGGAGGCCTGGTCGAGGACCGGGCCGCGGGGACACTAAAAGCCTCGAAATCATCTCAAGATAATCTCAAGAGACCATGGTAGTTTTGTTGTTTTAGATTCAGTTACTCAGAGCAAGAAGTTCCAGTAGCACGGGCTATGGTGAGCCCCCGTATGACCATGGTGGCGTGCCTTAGGACCAACATGGCGGTGGGCCCCAGAACAGCCTGCATGCCAGGCACCGTAACGCGAGACAACGGACCTAACGACCACATCCACTGCACGTTCCACACACAAACACCGGCCAATCAACTGCTTGTTCGTGTTGTGACAGCTGCCAGTGATTAGGGTCAAGGGGATTAGGGAGGAAGGGGGGGGGGGGGGAGGGAAGGGAACTATCAGGGGGAAAGCGCCAAGTCATTACGACTATATAGCACTTGGAAGGGGTCAGAATAAGGATTTGGGATGGGACGGCGGGGAAGGAATGGACCGCCCAACCACTTGGACGGTCGAGGATTAAACGCCGACCTGCATGAAGCGAGACCGTCGCTCTACCGTCCAGCCCAAGTGGCTGGGTAGAGGGGGGAGGAGGGGGAGAGAGCTGCCCAAGCTTCCAAGCTTCCCTAATTACGAGTCATAAGAAAGCACGATTATCTCTGCCAACATTATTATGAAGCTCGACTACAGCGTAACATATACATCCTCTCCTGCTGGGATGAGAGTTATTCATCACTCTAGTATACTCTTAACTGACGATGGAGGTACAGTGGAGTTTACATGGTAAACCAGAGATGGTCGGGAGACGTAGCTGCATGATGATGCCATCATTAGCCGACAGGAGAGAGACAAGTGACGAGAGGAGAGAGACAAGTGACGAGAGGAGAGAGACAAGTGACGAGAGGAGAGAGACAAGTGACGAGAGGAGAGAGACAAGTGACGAGAGGAGAGAGACAAGTGACGAGAGGAGAGAGACAAGTGACGAGAGGAGAGAGACAAGTGACGAGAGGAGAGAGACAAGTGACGAGAGGAGAGAGACAAGTGACGAGAGGAGAGAGACAAGTGACGAGAGGAGAGAGACAAGTGACGAGAGGAGAGAGACAAGTGACGAGAGGAGAGAGACAAGTGACGAGAGGAGAGAGACAAGTAACGACAGGAGAGAGACAAGTAACGACAGGAGAGGGACAAGTGACGACAGGAGAGAGACAAGTAACGAGAGGAGAGAGACAAGTGACGAGAGGAGAGAGACAAGTGACGAGAGGAGAGAGACAAGTGACGAGAGGAGAGAGACAAGTGACGAGAGGAGAGAGACAAGTGACGAGAGGAGAGAGACAAGTGACGAGAGGAGAGAGACAAGTGACGACAGGAGAGAGACAAGTGACGAGAGGAGAGAGACAAGTGACGACAGGAGAGAGACAAGTGACGAGAGGAGAGAGACAAGTGACGAGAGGAGACAGGACCGTCAGTAGACAAGCGTCGTCAGACCCTCAGTAGTTGTGTGCACTTGGGCTGGGAGAGACGAGCAAGTGACGACGAGCCAGATGAGGTGCGACAAGCCAGATATGATCGTCACAAGTGAGATAACTCCACCCCAACAGTAGATGGGTCCACCTCTATCCAACGTGATTGTTTCTTTTCATTTGGCTGTTTGAACTACAGTATTTTGCATGACTGACGCAGTGTATGGCGGCGAGGGATAGTATTATGTTTTCTGTGCTATAAACACCAGTGGTGATTCCCACACCTGCGTCCAGCCAGAGTAACAGGACTGTGGATAGGATAAAAAAAAATCTTGAGATGATTTCGGGGCTTGTTTTTTTTAGTGTCCCCGCGGCCCGGTCCTCGACCAGGCCTCCACCCCCAGGAAGCAGCCCGTGACAGCTGACTAACACCCAGGTACCTATTTTACTGCTAGGTAACAGGGGCATAGGGTGAAAGAAACTCTGCCCATTGTTTCTCTCCGACGCCTGGGATCGAACCCGGGACCACAGGATTACAAGTCCAGTGTGCTGTCCGCTCGGCCGACCGGCTCCCTTAGGATAACCTAAGATTGTGAGAAGTGATTTGTCAACACAGAATGTCAGGAGTGGACAGTGTTGGCCAAGACAGTGTTTACTTACTTGATATGTTCATTCTTTTACTGTTTGTAAACTGGGCAGATATTTTATCACAGATAATTTGTGTATTATAGTATACCAGTTGTGGGGAATACCACAAAAGAGATCTTAAGAGTTTCTATACAATGTGTCAGTTGGGTATAAATGTGCACAAATTACACGCATATTTATGTTGTTTGATAATTATAAGTTTGTTGTTGTTGTTAAAGATTCGCTACCTGGAACAAAGCTCCAAGTAGCACGGGCTATGGTGAGCCCGTAGTACCCCCTCCCCATCCCCTCAGATAATTAAAACATAACATACAAGTACATATATTAGTAGAGCAGGAGCCTACCTTGACATTTGAGAAAGTACATATGTGAGGAGGAAGTAGATTACGAGCTTATAATAATAATTATAATAATAATAATAATAATAATATTTTATTTGGAAAAAGTACATACATAGATGCAGAGTTACAAACATTCTGATTATTTATAGACAAAGCTAGTACATACAAACACCTAAAGCCACTAATACGCATAGCGTTTCGGGCAAGCTTCATCATGTGTTATAGAGATGAGGCTGCAGTGAAATGTTCAGGAGCTGACAGGAGGATTTCTTCTGATGCATCATTTTTTAATATTCCTTAGATTTATTAAATGTTAGATTGTTTACATGTTTTCCTCTTACCTCTGTGTGACTACAAGAGACGATAATATTATCCTGCATACTGATGAGAGATTAAAATAAAATAAAATGGGATCTGATAGTGGAGTAGTGATAGTGAGGACACCCCAAGTACATTGGGGGAAGAGAGTGTCAACCTGTAGGCTCGGCGGGCGGGCGTGAATTCACGACAGCAGGAAATTGAAATTGAAATTTAAATATGTTTATTGAGGTAAAATTCACACAAAGGGATGAGGTAGCTCAAGCTATTCTCACCCCGTTCAGTACATCGTGTTAATACATACATAGACACACATCACAAACAATAAACATATTACCAAATATTCTGAGAGATAAACATCTACATTTCCTCATAACAGCAGGTGAATGCCGAGCTGAAGTTCCCTCTTGTTTGGGCTGGATGGTAGAGCGACGGTCTCACTTTACGCAGGTCGGCGTTCAATCCCCCGACTGTCTAAGTGGTTGGGCACCATTCCTTCCCCCCCCCCCCCGTCCCATCCCAAATCCTTATCCTGCCTGCTTCCAAGTACTATATAGTCATAATGGCTTGGCTTTCCCCTTAAACTTTGCTTGCTTTCCCTCTTGTTTGCTGTGACTTTTTTCCCCTACATTTCCTAGACCTACAGGCGCTGCCGAGTGAGTTCTTACAAGGTTGCTGACCACAGAGGTGTCAGTGAGGGTAGCAACACCGGTGGTGTCTGCTGGTTGTTGTTATACCACCACCGGTGTTGTAATAATCCCTTGTAATTCACACCTGATTCAATTATACAAGAAGATGAGAACATCTTGTACTCACCTAGTTGTACTCACCTAGTTGTGTTTGCGGGGGTTGAGCTCTGGCTCTTTGGTCCCGCCTCTCAACCGTCAATCAACAGGTGTACAGATTCCTGAGCCTATCGGGCTCTGTCAACATCTTGTTGTTTCAACATCTACATGCTGGCAGTGGAGCTATGTATTTCTGACATGTGTTTTGCATGTTACACCAGCCTTGTCTGTGTCATCAATCCCACCAGCCTCGACGTGATGACCTCCAGATAAAAATAACCAGTAGATTGCTGGACCTTTGATTCCACTCACCTCCAATATTATATATGGAACAACGGGCTCGCCATAGCCCGTGCTACCTGGAACTTTTTGTTCCAGGTAACGAATCTTAAACAACAACAACAACAAGCTCCAATGGCCAAAACATTACCGTTCTCTTGACCATCTGAACATCAATGAGCATCAACGTTCAGTCGTGTCTGGGGTGACTGTAGTACTGGACGCTACAGCAAGCTCATCATTTCCTTTGTTGTGTTTTCTTAAAAGAAAAAAATTGGCTTCCCGTGAGGTGTTTTACTTGATTTAAAGGTTATGATCAACTACCAAGTGTGTCGGTGCTCCCGTGCGGGTGTAGGGCTTGGTTATCTTGAGGTTATCTTGAGATGATTTCGGGGCTTTAGTGTCCCCGCGGCCCGGTCCACGACCAGGCCTCCACCCCCAGGAAGCAGCCCGTGACAGCTGACTAAATCACAGGGCATCTGAAGACCTGTATTCACCTAGTTGTGCTTGCGGGGGATGAGCTCTGCTCTTTCAGCCCGCCTCTCAACTGTTAATCAACTGTTACTAACTACTAATATTCCACCCCACCCCCCCCCCCACACCACACACACACCAGGAAGCAGGCCGTGACATCTGACTAACTCCCAGGTACCTATTTACTGCTAGGTAACAGGGGCATCAGGGTGAAAGAAACTCTGCCCATTGTTTCTCGCCGGCACCCGGGATCGACCGTGGTCATGTACGGGTAAGTCCGTGCCTTGAGGCCCTCAGACTGCTCCAGGCAGGCTGAGAGCTTGCCCTTCCCACGCCTCGTGGTAAACCTTACTCTACTAG